AATCTGAATCTTATCAAGCCTCCATATCTAATTGCCAGTTTATAGGAAATAAAAGGGACAGAAGAATGCATGTTAAGTGATACCACAAGGAAGCAACCAACAAAATCCAGAATGTGGGAAACTCTACTTGACAAACAACACAGTGTCTTCAACATGTAATTGCAATTTAAAAGACAGGAGAGAACATATCGATGAAAAGGAACTCCAAAGACATAACCGATTGCAATATATGGCCCTTACTTGGAGCTCAGTTTGAACAAACAATAAAAAATATTTATGAGACAATCACAGAAATATAGAAAGTTGATGGTGTTAAAGAATTACTGTTATTTATTTTTAGGCGTGATAATGGTACTGGCATTGTGTTTTTTAAAAATATTCCTTTTGTTTTAGAAAGGCATACTAAAATCTGTACAGATGAGATGATATGATGTCTGGATGATAATCCAGCTGGAAGGTGGGCAAAGAATGACTGGGAACACAGATGGGAGAAGGTAGGTCATGAGTTGACAACGGTTGAAGCTGGATAATGGGCACATGGGAGTTCATCATGCTATTATCTCTACTTTGTATATTTTGAAATTTTTCCTAATCGAAATTTTCAGTCCCAGATTCTTTCTTTCAAGTTAGAATGCTAGCTCATATTATTACTACCATGGATATCTTCATCAATCTACTTTCTTTCACAGGAATTAAACTGAGTATAAACGTCAATCTATTTATCAGAAGTCTTCTGGTATTTACCCTGAGTTAGAGAGTCTTTCCCTGACTGGAAACTAGACTCTGCCCTCATTATGAGCACCAATATTTAGAAGAATAGATTGTAAAAACAATTAAATGGTAGCACTTGAGCCTGACTCCACAGCAAACGTACATAACACAGCCATGGATCAGTCACAACAGAGATGGGCACCAAAAGGAGAGATCAGTAGGAGAAAGGTCAACAGTGGCCTTCCTCTCTTCTCAGCCCCTTTCCTCCTAGCTCCTCCTACTCAGGTCCAACTGTGCCCTCTCTTCCGGTCCCTTGTACATCTTTAGTAATGAAAGTCTCATACTTTCCAGCCTATACCCAAGGCTGTCATCCTCACCAAGATTTTTACCTATTCTGACCTTCAACAGCTGGCCTGTGGCTGCTTCCATACCACTGATCTTGGGATTTGGGAATCAACCATTCATATATGTGTCTCCTCCACTAAATGAGTCTCCTTGAGCCGAAGACTGTCTTATTAGGAGAGGCAGTACAGCAGGGTGGTTTGGAGGGTAAGCTCTGGAGTCAGATTACTTGGGTTCAAATTTTCCATTTACCAGCTGTGTTCCTTGGACAAGTTACTCTATGTCTAAATTGTCTTATCTGTAAAACGCAAATAATAATCATACTTACAGATTATGAATACTAAATGTGATATATATATACGTTAGAATCACTCCTAGCACATAGAAGAGCTTAACGGATATTGTTGCTGTTAGCTGCCGTTGAGCGGGCCCCTGACTTATGGCAACCCCATGCACATGCACAACGGAAAAAACGCAGCCCGATCCTGTGCCATCCACGTGATCTGTTGTGGACTGGACACTGGGATACATAAGGTTTTCATTGGCTAATTTTCAGAAGTAGATCACCAGTCCTTTCTTCCTAGTCCATCTTCATCTGGAAGCTCTGCTGAAACCTGTTCAGCGTCGTAGCAACACGCAAGCCTCCACTGACATACAGGTGGTGGCTGAACCTGAGGTGCACTGGCCAAGAATTAAACCCAGGTCTCCCTCATGAAGGGAAGACCTCTAACACTGAACTAACAATGCCTCCACTAATCAACGTTAACATTATTACTGTGGTTGTTACTAATATTGATATTAATCTTTGTATACCCAGGGTCTAGCACAGAGATTCAATGTTTGTGAAGAAGATGAATCGTTACTATCAACATATGCTACATCCATCTAGTCAATTATTTAAACCATCTGCCTGAACTTCCTCCAGCAATCTATTTAACACCTAAAATCTCTGAAAATGTTATATCAGGGTGGCTCTGAGATCAGAACACTGACTGAATTTTGCCATGCCACTTTCAGATATGTGCACTACCGAATGTTGAAAATGACCAATTGATACTTTACTCCAGAAAATCTATTGTAAAGCTGATGAAATTATGACCAATGGCTGGAGATACCCCACCCATGATCTATAGCACTATCCCCTTTTTCCTTACTTACAATAGCCACGGAAGGAATTCCAAGCATTGGGTAGGTATGTGTGTTGTACAGATGAACTCTGCTGCTGCTGCTGCTGTTGAAGAGACTGACCTTGGCCTGAGGAACTGCCTTGGATGTGCGAGGGGCTGAGCCCTTGCTGGGACTGCTGGGCAGAGGGACTCAATGGCTGCCCAGCTACCTAGGGAGAAAGAGGAAGCAAGAGTGGGAAATTATGAATTTCCAATACGGTTGAGACTCACGAAAATCTCAAGTAAATAAGTAAGACTAATATGAATTACAAGAGCCCGGTGGCACAACAGTTAAGTACTTGGCTGCGAACCGAAAGGCTGGTGGTTCGAATCCACTCAGCAGCTCTGGGGAGGAAGACCTGGCAATCTGCTCTCATAAAGATTACAGCCTAAAAAACTTTATGGGGCAGTTCTGTTCTGTCTGATGGGGTCGCTATGAGTCGAAATTGACTGGACAGCACCTAACAACAGCAACGATACGAATAACAATACTGAAAGCATCACCGCTAAATTACATGTTAAATAAGAAAAGCATTAATGAAAAGCAATCATAGTCTCAACTCACCAGGAGCAAAACAGTAAGAAGGTAACCAAAAGCACAGAGAAGAAACAAGTCTACAAGAGCCACAACCTCAGCTACCCTGAGACCAGAAGAACTAGATGGCGCCCAGCTATCACCACTGACCATTCTGACCGGGGTCATAATACTTGGTCCCGGATAGAAAGAGAGAAAAATATGGAGCAGAACTCAAATTCTTATTTAAAGGAAAAAAAAAGCCAGACAAATTGAAACAGTAGAGAATAGAAGACTCCCTGAGACTATCACCCTGAGACACTCTTTAAACCTAGAACCGAGCCTATCCCAAGATCACCTTTTAGCAAAACAGCGGAGTCGCAAACAAAATAAAGGATATTACCCATAAGTTTGGTTCCCTACTTAATTAAAAACCATTGGTATGAGACCAAAAGGTCAGCAATTTCTCAAACGCAAAGATGGGAAGAGAAAGGGGCAGGGAAACTAGAGTACTGGAAAGGGAACAAACAATATAATAAAAGAGAATGCTGACACATTGTGTTAAATGTAACTAATGTCACTGAACAATTTGTGTGCAAACTGTCAAATGGGAACCTAACTTGCTGTGTAAATTTTCACTGAAAACACAATAAAATATTTTTTTAAAAAAAGAAAGAAAAGCAATCGTAACTATGAAACCCTAACTGGCTTTCAAAGGCTTATCTACAAGAGTATCCAAAAAGCTAATTTCAATACACTTATTAGGAAGTATAATTATCGTATTTTTACACAAATAACGTGTGTGTTATATGTTCCTTTGCCAAGCGTGCCCTCCTCTCAACACGAGCCCCATCACATGAAGACAGCCAAGGAAGGCAGGACCAGAAGCTGAAGAGACAAGGACTGTCCCCTAGAGCCAAAAGAAAGAGAAAGCCTTCCCCTAGAGCTAGTGCCCTGAATTCAGACTTCTAGCCTCCTGAACAGTGAGAAAATGACTTTCTGTTCTTTAAAGCCACCCACTTGTGGTGTTTCTGTTACAGCAGCACTAGGAGACTAAGAAAGGGCCTGCATCTGAAGATCCTGTCTCTTCGCTCTCCTTAACTCCTCATGGCCCCTGCAGCCATGTTAGCTTCTCTGAAAAGTTCACAGAGAACGTACCTGGGATGACGAAGGAGCAGAGGTGGTGGGCTCAGTGACCTGGATATGCTGCACCTGGATGGCATGCTGGGTGTATGTCTGAGGGTCATGGAGCTGGCCGACGTCCACAGTGGACTGCTGAGACTGGTGAGGTGAAGTAGCCTGGAGGGAAAAACAGGCCCAGAAACCAAATCCACATTGATTGAGGTTAAGGAAAACCCATTCAGAGAAAAGGCTCAGTTAAAAACAATAGCCCAACAGAAATATAAGAATAGGTGGAACTTCAGATCCATTGCTTCACTCCCAGAGAGCTCATGCCTAAGCCAAGCTGGCAAACATTAAAACAGTTTTCTAACATGATGCTTATAAAACATAGTTAAGCCACTAGGACAACTAAATTGAGATAAAGGGAATACAGCTTCTAATAATAAGCCAAACGAGAAGATCTCAGGCACCAAAAATCTTTCTCCCTTAAATTCCAATTGACTAGTGGCCTACCCTTTAACAATTAAAAGAGATCAAAGAAAATTTACTTTTAGCTTGTCACTATTAACCCTAGCAGCGGTCCTAGTAATCGTTCCTAACTTTTTATGTATGACAGGCATCTTTGAAAATCTAACTAAAGTTATGGGCCTTTTTTCCAGAACAGTACACACACACATCATATTTCACAGGCAACTTCAAGGATGTATAGATTTCTCCAAACTCGAAAGTTAAGAACCCTTCCTTAAGAAAGACAAGATACAGAAGAGTTAATAAAACAACAGTAGCAACTTCCAATTTCCTGATCTGGTATTAGTTTTAAATTTTTAGAGACCAAATTATTTCAAAGCAACAAGTTTGCTCATTTGTGCCTTGAATATAGTTCCTCCACTTAATTAAATGGAACAAGAGTTCTGGAAGGATTCCTTATTACAGCTCCCGGGTCAGTAAGAACGAGCTACTAATTTTCAGGTCAAAGGAACATAGTTATACCTCTGTACTAACAGGGTACTGACTGATATTCAGAAATTGGATCAAAATGAATCCTTATAACCTCCCACAGATGTAAGACAATGCCCAGGTAGGGATTTATCAAACTGGCTCATAACCATGTAGCAGTCAACCTGGAGGCTAAAGGATAAGGGTTCAGAAGACACCTGGTTGTCTGAGGTCAGAAAGAGGTCCCTCTAGCACTATCCTGCAGTCACACAGGATAGCTGTATAAATTGAAGCCTAAAATCTCTTGAATACCACAGACGGACACCTCCCACCCTAAGTCCAGAGCCTGCAACATCCCAGGAAATAAATAAGTAAATAAAAAGTTCACCCAATGCCTTAGATTCCGAACTTAAATGCAGAAGCACATTATGTAGGACTTTTGCTCTGAGGACTGGGTACTTTGTGGACTCCAGCTGCCATACTAGCTCGTGGCAATATGGCATTGATAAAGGTAAAGAGAAACAGGTATCATACTGTACCGGGGCCACCTGCACCACTTGAAGCTGGATATGCTGAGGCTGTTGAAGACCCGAGGTGGGCTGCGACACGGGGATATACTGAATTCTCTGGTAATCTCCTTGTGGGGTCCGGTAGTCTGTTGTTAAGGTCTGGGACAGTTCTGTCATTGCTTGAGTGAGCAGGTCGGTTGTCTAGAAAAATCACACAAAATATTCTGGTTGATAGCTATTTGGAGCTATTTCAATGCTCTTAAATCCTACTAAAATTTAATTAGCTTGTCTTACTGGTAGATCATCTAACTACATGTCAGACCCAAACCCAGAAAGACAGAGAGAGAAAAAAAATCTGAGGTTGGGAAAATGTTGGAAGGAAAAAAATTATACTATATATACATATATATATACATCTCCCCCCGGCATCTGTCAGTTGGTTGTACTGTGGGGGCTTGCGTGTTGCTGTGATGCTGGAAGCCATGCCACTGGTATTCAAGTACCAGCAGGGTCACCCATGGCAGACAGGTTTCAGCTGAGCTTCCAGACTAAGGAAGACTAGGAAGAAGGACCCGGTGGTTTACTTCTGAAAAGAATTATCCAGTGAAAACCTTATGAATAGCAGCAGAACATTGTCTGATATAGTACCGGAAGATGAGCCTCTCAGGTTGGAAGGCACTTAAAATACGACTGGGGAAGAGCTGCCTCCTCAAAGTAGAGTCGACCTTAATGACGTGGATGGAGTCAAGCTTTCGAGACCTTCATTTGCTGATGTGGCACGACTCAAAATGAGAAGAAACAGCTGCAAACATCCATTAATAATTGGAATGTGGAATGTACGAAGTATGAATCTAGGAAAATTGGAAATCGTCAAAAATGAAATGGAACGCATAAACATCGATATCCTAGGCATCAGTGAGCTGAAATGGACTAGTATTGGCCATTGTGAATTGGAAAATCATACGGTCTACTATGCTGGGAATGACAACTTGAAGAGGAATGGCGTTGCATTCATTGTCCCAAAGAACATTTCAAGATCTATCCTGAAGTACAATGCTGTTGGTGATAGGATAATATCCATATGCCTAAAAGAAGACCAGTTAATAGGACTATTATTCAAATTTACACACCAACCACTAAGACCAAAGATGAAGAAATTGAAGATTTTTACCAACTTCTGTAGTCTGAAATTGATCAAGCATATAATCAAGATGCATTGATAATTACCAGTGACTGGAATGCAAAAGTTGGAAACAAAGAAGGATCAGTAGTTGGAAAATACGGCCTTGGTGATAGCATTACAGAATTTGGCAAGACCAATGACTTCTTCATTGCAAATACCTTTCTTCACCAACATAAATGACGACTACACACGTGGATCTCACCAATGGAATACACAGGAATCAAATCGACTACATCTGTGGGAACAGATGATGGAAAAGCTCAATATCATCCGTCAGAACAAGGGCAGGGACTGACTGTGGAACAGACCATCAATTGCTCATACGCAAGTTCAAGTTGAAACTGAAGAAAATTAGAACAAGTCCACGAGAGCCAAAGTACGACCTTGAGTATCTCCCACCTGAATTCAGAGACCATCTCAGAAACAGATTTGACGCGTTGAACACTAATGACAAAGACAAGTTGTGGAGTGACATCAAAGACATCATACACGAAGAAAGCAAGAGGTCATTAAAAAGACAGGAAAGAAAGAAAAGACCAAAATGGATGTCAGAAGAGAGTCTGAAACTTGCTCTTAAACGTCAAGTAGCTAAAGCAAAAGGAAGAAATGATGATGTAAAAGAGCTGACTAGAAGATTTCAAAGGGCGGCTTGAGAAGACAAAGTAAACTATTACAATGACACATGTAAAGGCTTGAAGTTTGAAAATCAGAAGGGAAGAACACACTCAGCATTTCTCAAGCTGAAAGAACTGAAGAAAAAATTCAAGCCTCGAGTTGCAATAGTGAAGGATTCTACAGGGAAGATATCAAACGACGCAGGAAGCATCAAAAGAAGATGGAAAGAATACACAGAGTCACTTTACCAAAAAAGAATTAGTCGATGTTCAACCATTTCAGGAGGTAGCATATGATCAGGAACTGATGGTACTGAAGGAATAAGTCCAAGCTGCACTGAAGGCATTGGTGAAAAACAAGGCTCCAGGAACTGATGGAATACCAACTGAGTTGTTTCAATAAATGGATGCAGCACTGGAAGTGCTCACTCGTCTTGCCAAGAAATTTGGAAGACAGCTACGGGGCCAACTGATTGGAAGAGATCCATATTTATGTCTATTCCTGAGACAGGTGATCCAACCCAATGCAGAAATTATCAAACAATATCATTAATATCACACACAAGTAAAATTTTGCTGAACATCATTCAAAAGCAGCTGCAGCAGTATATCAGTAGGGAACTGCCAGAAATTCAAGCTGGATTCAGAAGAGGATGTGGAACAAGGGATATCATTCCTGATGTCAGACAGATCCTGGCTGAAAGGAGAGAATACCAGAAAGACGTTTACCTGTGTTTTACTGACTATGCAAAGGCATTCGACTGTGTGGATCATAACAAATTATGGGTAACACTGCAAAGAATGGGAATTCCAGAACACTTAATTGTGCTCATGAGGAACCTGTACATAGATCAAGAGGTAGTTGTTCGAACAGAACAAGGGGATACTGCGTGGTTTAAAGTCAGGAAAGCTGTGCATCAGGGTTATATTCTTTCTGTATACCTATTCAATCCGTATGCTAGGCAAATAATTCGAGAAGCTGGACTATATGAAGAAGAATGGAGCATCAGGATTGGAGGAAGACTCATTAACAACCTGTGATATGCAGATGACACAACCTTGCTGGCAGAAAGTGAAGAGGACTTGAAGCACTTACTGATGAAGTTCAAAGACCACAGCCTTCAGTATGGATTACACCTCAACATAAAGAAAACAAAAGTCCTCACAAACTGGACCAATAAGCAACATCATGATAAATGGAGAAAAGATTGAAGCGGTCAAGGATTTCATTCTACTTGTATCTATAATCAACACTCATGGAAGCAGCGGTCAAGAAATCAAAAGATGCATTGCATTGGACAAATCTACTGCAAAAGACCTTTTTAAAGTGCTGAAAAGCAAAAATGTCACCTTGAAGACTAAGGTACGCCTGACCCAAGACATAGTGTTTTCAATTGCCTCATATGCACACGAAAGCTGGACAATGAATAAGGAAGACCGAAGAAGAACTGACGCCTTTGAATTGTGGTGACAGCAAAGAATATTATATACCATGGATTGTCAAACGAACAAACAAATCTGTTTTGGAAGAAGTACAACCAGAATGCTCCTTAGAAGCAAAGATGGCAAGACTACGTCTCACATACTTTGGACATGTTATCAGGAGGGATCAGTCCCTGGAGAAGGACATCATGCTTGGTAAAGTAGAGGGTCAGCAAAAAAGAGGAATACCCTCAACGATATGGATTGACACAGTGGCTGCCAACAATGGGTTCAAGCATAACAATGTGAGGATGGTGCAGGACGGGGCAGTGTTTTGTCCTGTTGTAGGTAGGGTCACTATGAGTAAGAACCAACTCAACAGCATGTAACAACAACAACAGCAAATATATATACATATATATATGTATGTGTGTTTATGTATGTATCTGTGTGTGTGTATGTGTATACGTACATACATATATATAAACACACACACACACATATATGTAAACTCACTGCCATCAAGTTGATTCCAACTCATAGCAACCGCACGTGACAGACTAGAACTGCTCCACAGGGTTTTCTCGGCTCTATTCTTAATGGAAGCAGATAGCCAGGCCTGTCTTCCACAGCACTACTGGGTGGATTGAAACCACCAACTTTAGGTTAGTAGATGAGCACAACCTGTTTGCACCACCCCGGGACCTCTATATGTATATATCTGAGACTGTCTGTCTCAAGCCCAATGGAGTTACCCTCGAGGATCAGACAATCTTGCAGTGAAAACAAGCAACATTGAAATTTTCTTGCCACCCTTTTCACAGAGCACTTTGGGAAGCATCACTTAGGAGACCCAATCATAAGCATAATGCCTTATGCAGAAAACCGCAGGATCATGGGCCATATTTGCAGGTCTGAGAAAGGTAATAACAAGGGGGACATGGCTGTGGTATTTACAGACAGGGTGGGCACTGGAGGAAACGGGAGGGGCCTACTCGTCACACTCACCACCACAGTCTCCCCAGTGGCACTATCTGTAGTTAAGACAGCCGGGGTAGCACTGATCACAGCTGTGGTCAAGGGCGCATGTATAGTGTTGGGGAGCTGGGCATACTCTGGGTGCTTCTTTCGAATGTGCTGTACCATCTTGGTCTGAAAAAAATGAAGGCAAAAACCAAGAACAGAATTAGTTATTTTCAGTCTTTTTCATATGCAAACCCTCCAAAGATTCCTGAAGTCTTTTATGTTATGCATTAAAAATCAAAAATGAGAGCAATGCCGACTCGGCGCCTGCCCTTTCTAAAGTGGTACAACGCTATGAAAGGAAAAAAAGGGGGCTGAAAAGAAATAGCAAATGCACATGACCCCACACCAACAGGGAAGGGAGGAACACTGCCAGCACCCCTCTACGCCCACCGATACCTGTGGCAATCCATCACAACCCTCTAGCAAAAATGACCCACTGCCATCAAGTCTATTCCGACTCATAGCGACCCTACAGGACCGAGTAGACCTGCCCTATAGGGTTTCCGAGAACGTAAATCTTTACAGAAGCAGACTACCACATCTTTCTCCCATGGAGCAGCTGGTGGGTTCAAACCGCTGACCCTTCAGTTAGCAGTTGAACGCTTAACCATGGCACCACAAGGCCTCCTCCCTTTTAAAGAACTGCCATTTATGTACAATGGAATGCTTCTGCATACCTGAGCTCATTAACTGTAAGCACAGAATATTCAAATATGAGACCTTGAGCAGGCAGAGGAAAAAGAGAAACAAGCAAGTGCCAAAGCTAGTAGATGGCACTAATTCTGGACAAAGTCCACAATATTCTTTTCCCATTCTTTGCTTACAGCCTCTACCTTCAGGGAACATTTCCCCCCCAGTTCAGAAGAAGCCAGCTAGCCATGCATGTCAACAGCACCCTTAAACAGCGATTTGGCCTCAGGCAGTCGGCAACCTTTCCCTTACCTTGCTGCTGTACTGTTTGGAGCAGTGAGGACAGCAGACAGGAGGGGTAGCTATTGTGCCTGTGAGCTGGGTGTGGGTACTCAGCATGGGGTCAGGTTCTCCAGGACCAGCCGGACGAAGTTTGCGAATGCTTGGTGGGAGCTCAGCTCCTGGGTGGTTCTTCAGAATGTGCGCTTTCCGCTTGCTGGCGCTTTTATATACCTGCAATTCAAATGCTTTGCCATGAAAGCCATATACGCTTCCACTTTCTTGCTGAAAACAAACTATCAAGCTATTCTGTTACAAGGAAATGAGAAAAAGTATTCATGTAGCCCAAAAGAGAACACATTAACAGCTATGTTAAGGATAATAAGGATATGACATAAATTAGAAGAAAATAAGAACTAGTATAGATATGTTAAAAATTTTCTTTGGATTTTTATATGTAAGATAGTAACTATAAAAACACCCTTTACCCTAAAGTCAAAAAGGTGGGTGGATATACAGTCATAGAAACAGACTTATTTTTAAAGCCAGCTCATCCTTTAGTCTTTCTGTGAAACTTCTCATTTGATGTATGTAACTGACTACGGGGTACCAAAGAACCTTCCAAAATGGCAAGTCTAATAGCAACTAGTACCTTTAGAGGTGCATCTATGTTGAAAAAAATGTTTCTTACTTTTAAGCTGAAGTAAACTTTATAAAGATAGTAGAGATTATCTCTGAAATGTGATATAGCTACATTACATTAAAAAACAAACAAACCAACCCGTTGCCGTCAAGTCGATTCTGACTCATAGCAACCCTACAGGAGGAGTAGAACTGCCCATAGGGTTTCCAAGGAGCGCCTGATGGATTCGAACTGCTGACCTTCATGGCTGGCAGCCATAGGTCTTAATCACTACACCATCAGGGTTTCCACATTACGTAAGGAAACAACAGAAACAATAAACACATATTCTCTTTCCATTTTGTAACTGCACAAAAGTGAAGAGTGGATAGCACAACTACAGGACTCCCCCACACGTCCTCCTCAATCTTCCAGAAACCCTAAACCCACCATGTATTTTACAAGCAGAATGATAACACTCTGGTTGCAGAGTTTAGGAATTTAAAATTGATTCATGTACAAAGGTCTTGGTAATAGGCCTCTTCTTTTGTAACGAAAATCAGAGAGAAGGGACAACAGAAATAAAGTCAGTCAACTAATTTAAGGGGAAAAAAAAACTGGCTTAAAATAAAGCTGCATTTCTAGCCCTTTCATGTCTGAACGGAAAACTACTGAGAGACAGGGACCCATATGCTGACAGTAACCGCCAGCAACTTGTATATATTAATACACACAGACAAACTGGTTCTCCGCAGAGCGCCCACGGAGGCATACCAGAATGGATGTTGTCCTTTTACCTTATCACAATACTGACAAAAGTAATCGCGGTTGGGTTTTATGATAGGCAGAGTTAACTCTGGCACCTCTTCTATCTTCATGTCTGGGTGCCTCTTTGATAAGTGGTTTACCTAAAAGAAAAAAACAAAAACAAAGCAGATGAGAGAAAGAGACCCCATTATAAACAGAAGCTAAACAAATCCCTCAGACATGAGAAAAAGAAATTCTCTGAAGCAATCTCCCAAACCAATAAGGCATTTGGCCAGAACCAGCATCCGCAAACCCATCTGACACCAAAGCATTAACAGCCACTGTTAGTAGGAGTCAACAGTAATTCAGCAAATTCCTGAGAATGAAGTGGGTCACTGTGGATCCCATTAACACTCTGGCTGAAATAAGTTCTGTTGGAAAAGGAAAAATTACACACTAGCATGAATTTCCTTGGTGACTTCTCCTGATGCAAACCTGTGTTTCATTATTTGGTGACCTAGCCTTACTGAGGAGCCCTGGTGGTACAGTGGTTAAGAGCTATGGCAAGCTAGGGCTGCTAAACAAAAGGTCAGCAGTTGTAATCTACCAGCCGCTCCTTGGAAACCCTAGATGCAGTTCTACTGTGCCCTATAGGGTTGCTATGAGCCGGAATTGACTCGACAGCAATTGTTTCTTTTTTTTAGCCTTACTCAAACATTGAATGAGAAACAAACAGGTTCTGAATTTTAACTATTGCTCTGTGACTTTCTGGCTCCTGCAAAACATACTCTGCAACTGGAATAAGGTCAGGATGTGCTGACAGCAGTGAACTGGTTCCTCTGGGTCCACAGACCCTGCTTTGGTGGGAAGATTCCTCCTACTGCTGTTTCATTTCTAGAAAAGAGAGGCATTAGAAGGGGATAGTGAGGGCAAAGGCAAAAGACCCCACCTGAAAGTATATATTACAAAAAAAAACCAAACTCATTGCCATTGGGTCAATACTGACTCATAGTGACCCTACAGGACAGAGCATAACTGCCTCATAGGGTTTCCAAGGAGCAGCTGGTGGATTCAAACTGCTGGCTTTTGGTTAGCGGCCTGAGCTCTTAACCACTGTGCCACCAGGGCTCCCCCGAAAGTATAGACAGGGATACAAAAGAGAAGAGGGAAATAAAATAGGAAAAGAACAGAGGTTTGGGGAGGGTAAAGAGAAACAAAATTAGTGGTGAAAAGGGATGGAAAAAGACCTCTCGCAAGAGGTCACCGGGGAAGAAGGGTGATAAAGGGGTAAAAGGGGAGACTGGGGTGGAAAGAACGCCACATTGGCAACTGGTTGTCTCCGGTTTTTTCCTGGCCATTCACTATCGGCAGACACAGTTTAGCACAGCGGACAATACACAAGCCATGGTCACACCCAGAGCCAACGAGCCGGCCTGGGAAGCCGGGGCCGCGGCCGCGCGCACTGACCAGCATGCCTCGCCTGCGGAAGCCCATCATGCACAGGCGGCACTTGAACGTGAAGCTGTCGTAATCTGTGGACGTGATGCGCGGCTTGAAAGTCTTGGAGCGGCTGATGCGGTCGGCCTTCTTGGCCTCCCTCTCAGGGTTGTGCATCCTTTGCATGTGTTCCCGTAGTTTGTCTTTTCGCTGTTTAGAAAGAATTTTTGAAAAGGTGGGTGGGGGTAGACAATTTTCAATGAAGTTTGAAAAAAAAAAAAAAAAACAGTAAAAGCTAGCAGTAACCCCAGCCTGCCAAGATGCATCTGAGCTATTGGAGTGCTGGAACATACAAGGATAGGTCACGTGTGGCCAGGGCCTCCTCTGTTCCCTCGCCAACAAGCGCACTCCAGTGAGCCTGGATTTAAAATGACATCTGAAAGATACACACTAGTTTGTGAGAAGGCTTTGTATTTATGTAGAGGAGATCCAATATACACGGAGTAAGTTTGGTATTAAAAACTATAAAATGAATTTATAATAAAACACAAAATACTGGGTTTACAAAGTCGTGTTTATACTCAATTCCCACACATGTTAACAAACATAATGGTATTCCTCTAAATCCCAAATGAATTTGAGTAAGAATCTTTCATCTTACAGATCTGTAGTTTCTCCTTTTATGGATTTATAAGTTTGTTACACTGTCAGGTATGGATGGAGCAGAAGGTGTAGGTCACACCTCCTGGTTGGGTGACCTAATCTAGTGGTAAGTGTCAATGCGAGTCCACAGAGGGAGAAAATTAGGCGGAGCCCAACCTGAACAAAAACACGTTCAAATATGCCAACCCCTTAACCAGTGAGGTTCTCTGTGTTTAGACATACGATTAAACTGTTAGTGTGTTCTTGTAAGGATTTTGAACCTTTCTGGAAGAACAGCTCTTCCTATCTTTTGGTACAGGGACTTTTTTGTTGTTGTCGTTATTGTGCTCCGTAAGTCCCTCCCCCACCCCTTACTTTTGTAAAAATATAAATAAAACAGCACTTGCCAATTCAACATTTTTTGATTGTACAATTCAGTGAGACCAATTACATCAATCATTGTTGATTATACAATTATATGTTGATTATACAAATGTAATTGTTGATAATACAATCCTATTGTACAACCGTCATCAATATCTATTGCCAAAATTTTTAACCACTTCCTTTTTCAGCACACTTATTCAATAAATATTCCTTGAGTGCCTACCAAGTACCAAGAACTATGCTGAGTGCTGGGTTCCCATGCTAGACACCCCTCACCTACCTCTCTCTTCTGTTAAAATGGATATGGACCCAATTGCTCTTTCTTCCTGCCCCCAGCCACTCTCACTCCTGGAAAGCTCAGAAAAGAATTTTCATAGTTTTCTAGTCTGCAATAAACTTTGGATTAAGAGCAGTGCCCTAAACAACAGTATCTCTCATTAGCGCAGATACAATGGTAAATTGTATATAACAAGAGTAACATCAGTGTCAGTGGGGACTCAGACCTGAAAGACCACAGCATCAGAGCCACAGACTGCGCTCATGCCACTACCAGAAGTGTCTCCTTCTCATAACCTTAGCTTGCCGCCTCAGACTCTGTTGCATTTCCACTCTTTCCCAAGCATCAGTATTCACTAATTTCTCCCTACCTATTCCCTTCAAGGAGCCCTGGTAGTGCAGTGGTTAACAGCTCAGCTGTTTACCAAAAGCTTAGCAGTCTGAATCCATCAGCCACTCCCTGGAAACCCTATGGGGCAGTTCTGCTCTGTCCTATAGGGTCACTATGAGTTGGTATCGACTCGATGGCAATGGTTTTTTTGTATTCCCTTCAAATAGATGGACTTACCTTAAATGAATCATTACATAAATCCTAAAGCTTAATGAGAATACAATACAATGCCATATATGCAGGGACAGACCAATGTTTGCTGAATGCCAAATCTCCACGAGGCGTTTCCATCCTAACATCTTCAAAACCAAATTCGCTATGCCCCCCACTGTCTCTCCTCCTGTCTAAATCTCACACCTGTGTCAACACTGTTCCCCAACACCTACCTCCTAGGCTACAGATCTCAATTCCTTGCCGTGCATCCTTCCCACGTTCGTCAGGCGCAAGGCCCTATCGACTCTCCCTCTGACCCCTGTCTTGAAGATGGGCCTTGCTGTGCACGCCACTGCCTCTGCCTCAGTTTAGGCCTGGCTCTAAAATGTCTCCGGGAGTCTAACCACTTAGCACGAGAAGCAGGCCTGAACCTACTTCTCCAGCTTCATCTCGCCACGCACCCCTCACCATGGACTCCAACCACCACACATCTCACCACCTCCTGACAGTACCTCCATGGTCCCTGTCACGCCCTCTGCTTTCAGTGCCGTCTTGCCTCCCTCGTTCCTCATCCTTTCCTTTTCTCACGCTGGCAAACCCCTCCCTGCCCTTTAGTGGAGTCCAAAGTGTCACCTCATCTATGAAGTCTCCCCTGTACCCTAAATCACAGTCAATCCCTCTCATAGTATTTTATTCTTTTCTCTATGGTAGCATTAATAATAATGTTTTAAAATCTACAAGTCTAATTCCTCTATTAAATTGCGTGCTCCTTAAAGTCAGAAGGTCCTATCTTGTCTTTACATACACTGCCCTCATGGAGCTTATAGTTTGGCAACATGGATAATTAACAATACATTGCATTAAGCGCTACAGCAGGGTCATAAGTAAAAGTTCCTACGGAAATTCACAGGAGAAGCACTCAATCTAGTCTAAGGGGATCAAGAAAAGTCCCCATGTGAAGTGACATTAGCAGGGTGAAATGACATGAGAGGTTGAGAGTTGATTCAAGCAGAGGACAACGGGGAGAACAAATACACAGGTCAAAGAGAGAGGGTACACACACTCCAGTACGTCCAAGTAGTTCAGTACAGTCAGAGAACAAAGTGGAAGGGGGGCTGGAGAGGTATCAGGGACAGGTCATGTAGTGTCTCTGACGTGGTAAGAACTGTGGAGTCAATCTGAAGTCAGTGAAAAGTTATTACACGGTTTTCCAGCAGAGACATGACATCAGATTTGTTCTCTAGAAAAATATCTAGGGTTTTAGCCTGAAAAATGGGTTGAAGGTGGGTGGTGATTTTGTACAGTGTCAGCTTGGCTAAGGGGAACTATATGTAACCAGAATCCCCGTCCTAGTATGATTCCAAGTTAGAGTTAGGCAACAGAGAGATCCGTGAGAGAGCGGAAGGTAGAATGCTGCAGTAGCATCTCCTGAGGGTCACAGTGGCTCCAGGCAGTGCCAGACGCAGAGGTGCCCGTGGGTTCCTGCTGAGCCTCACGCTCTCCCCCGCAACAACCAGCTTGTCTTCTCAACTGCCAGATGCACAGCCCCAGTCTCCCACAGACTGCCCAGCTCTCTGGCACAGGCCCACCCCGGTTTCCCAGATTCCGAGGTAAGCTTCAGTCTGCCCACCCACACTAGGGTTTCATAAGGGTGCATAGTGACTTCTCTGATCCTCCAAATTCTCCTTTTAGACCCTTATGTCTCCATCTTTTTTCTATAAGTAAATTCTACTCCTATAATAAAACCCTTATTCCATAGACGCAGAGTGTTCTGCTTCCCTGGTTGAAGCCTGTCTAATACACGGGTGAAAGTAAAGGAGAAAATGGAATCAGAAAGACTTTTTATATCCCTAAGTGCTAACATGATAGCTAGCACAAAATAGATGAGTAGATACTGTTGAATGGATAAGACGGACGGATGGGCAACCAGTTAGCATCACAAGACAGGGATCCATTTAGATACAATTCTTCAAAAAAAAAACCTAGACCTTTTCATACTTTACACATTAGAGTTTTCTACAGAGTTCTGTACAGAGCTACTATACTAAAAGCTAACAAGATTATATGCTATAACACACATACCACAAAACTTAAGCTTAAAAATGTACTTCCTATTTCTCTTAATATCTTCACATTCTACACAAATACATCCTTTAAAATCAGTTTTCCTCTCCTGAATCCATTACGCCTCTAGTCCGGTTTCTGTGACAGTGTGGCCTACAATCATATTCAGTAGAGTGTCTCTCAGTGACATCTTTGCAGGATCATCTGATCTCCCAATGAAGCAAAGTTCATTGTTTTCACATTTGTTTATCTGTTGTCTCTGAGCCTCCTGCAGGTTTTTCCTTTGCTTCTTCTAAGTTCCAGACTGGTTACTGATATTATCGTTATTTATTTTAATCTTTGAAGTTGTCTGCATTCACCAAAGCACTCTAAGCTCTCTGAGTGTTCTACAGATTTCCCACCTCTGTTAGCTGAAAGCCCCGCTGCCTTCAGGGCCCAATTATAGGGGCCTTAGACTTAACAAGAAAACCCTCGTGGTGTAGTGGGTAATAGTTCAGCTGCTAACCAAAAGGTCAGCAGTTTGAATCCACCAGGCATCCCTTGGGAACCCTATGGGGCAGTTCTACTCTGTCCTACTGGGTCGCTATGAGGCGGAATCGACTCGATGGCAAGGGGCTTTTTGGATACTTAATAAGTGCTCAATAAAAATCTACTGACTTGAGTGGTAAGTAAATACACAGTTCTCTTAGGAATTCCTCAACAGTATCTCTGTTCCACTCATTATACATGTGAATTTTTTCAGAAGAATGGGCATTACCGTTATATTTGGTTTGCAGATTTGAATTAATTATTTTTGGAAACTAAGGGAAGTTTTCTCCCCTTTAATTTGTCATAATAACTAAGTCAGACATGAGCACAACGGCTTCCATGAATCTCAAGCCCAGTTCCTGGTAACCAGGAGACAAACTGATGGGATGAACAGGCATTTATCCTTAGCTTGACATGATTTCTGCAGCCACGAAAACCCTAGGCTGCTCACTGGTCACAGTACCTTAAATTGTTTCCCACACGTAGAACACAGAAAATCTTTGCGGTCCGAGTGTCGGAGCATGTGCAGGCGCAGTTTATCCGGACGACAGAAGGCCTTGTCGCACTCTGTACACTGGTATATCTTTTCTGAGTGGAAGCTGCGCACGTGTTTCTTCACCTGGCAGAGAAGACCACAGACAAGCTCAGGGGACCCAGGCACCAGAGGGAATGACGAAAGGTGGTTTGCCAACACTAGAGGGCGCCAGTGCATTACCGTGGATTTCATCAGCCTGGCCATGTAACCCAACCAGATGTCATAATCGGCCTCAATAGCACATACTGTCCAAGTCACAAAGGAGAAACAAAACAAGAGCCAGAAAGCCTTAGAAATCTGAACCTCCCATATGACCTGGAGACGTAAAAGGAAGAGTGTTTGCTTGGTCAAAGGCCTGATTACTTGGAGCCCATTTTTCTTTTTTTTTTTTTTAAGATTAAAAGGAAAGTTCCTTTCAGTTTAAATGAACCTTGCTAAAAATTATCTACAGGAAGACAGCAAATAAATCATTCTTCCTCACTTTCTTCCTACCTCCAACATGTGTAGACACAATTAGCCTCTTTCAGTAATTGGTCCTTTTATATCTTTCTATATAGTCAGATTCTGAAGAATTAAAGACATGAATTAGATGCTATCAAAAACGTTTCCCATTTATGAGAGCAAAACAACACTGGAGTCATTTCTCCTTAACTGGGACTTACTCCTTTTGTTTTTAAATAACTTAAATAAAGAAATATGAACCTCAGGATAATCTCAGCCATAAGTACCCAATGAAGAAGGGCTGCGCACAACAGCTAAGTCATGAGTCCTGTCAAGTTATTTCTATAAGATATTTTGCTTCATTATTTTTGGAGTCTCTTTTACTGACGTCATGCAGTTTGGAGCGGAACAAAGAAGACTGGTATATGCTATACTTTCATATCAAGCACTAATAAATCCCTTATTCCATACACTTATAGTGGTTCAGCTTGCCTGATTGAACGCTGTCTAATACATTGGGTGAAAGTAAGGGAGAAAATGGAAGCAGAAAGACTTTTTATATCCCTTAAAGCAAACTTTCTAGTTGTTTGTATGAAGTGAGTAAATTTCCAAGATTCCCAACATTAGCAGAACTATGACTAACTCCTAGTCTCTTTTGCTTTGGTAATAAAAACAAAACAAATAAACTTTTTTTAAAGGTTTTTATTAGATATTTAGCTTTAATTATTCATTGACTGAACCAAAAAAACCAAACCCATTGCTGTGGAGTCTATTCCAACTCATAGCGACCCTATAGGACAGAGTAGAACTACCCCATAAGATTTTCAAGGAGTGGCTGGTGAATTAGAACTGTCGACATTTTGGTTAGCTGTCTAACTCTTAAGCATTGCACCACAAGGGCTCCATTCAATGACTAGCATATAACAATATTATCAATCAAAATCCAAATAAAATCATGAATGTTCTGGAATTTACCTTCACCCACTTTGCTTCAGCACAGGGGCGGCAGTCTGTGCTTGATATGAAAGTATACTGTACACCAGCTTTGTTTCCCTCCAAACTGCATGACCTCAGTAAAGCTCAACAGGAACCCACAGTGGTAGGAAGGAGATGTTTCCAACCCAAGAAATGGGCTCCTGTAGGCTCTCCAAGTCCATTTTACGAGTAATGGATGGATGTTGGCAAGAATTCTTTATAATTTTTTTTATTAAAATTCAAATCAAGTCTGAGTGTTTATTACTCCTAATATAACTTAAATGTTTACATTCCAAAGTTTGATTTGGATAATTAAGGGTCATAATAATCTTTTGTTTATCCAAAGTAGCTTGATTGAAGAAACGTTGTGGTCAACTACATGGTTATTTCAAAGAAGGGATGAAAACGCAGGTGCTAGGCAGTAGTCTCAATTTTCCAGGAAACCACAGTTTCTTTTGCCGAAAGAAATGAAATACACAGGAATCTCAGTAGTAGGCACTCACCTGGATAAAATCTGGGAAACGTTTTTTACAAGTTGGGCAGGTGAAGTAGCCATCATTGATATGAATGGCCACATGATCTTTCAACAAATCAAGGCGGTCAAAGGATTCTGGGCAAAAAATGCAAGAGTAAGTCTTCTGGTCAGAATGGAGCTTCATGTGGCTCTCCAAGGACGTGCTGCTGATGAAGCCCTTGTTACAGAGATCACAGGTCAAAGGGCAGTTCCCCTCCCGCCCATGGAAGCGCAAGTGTTGGTCCAGCTTGTCCTTTTCACGGAAGGCCTTCCCACACTGCAAGCATTTAAAAGGCCGGAAAGACTTCCGAATAAACAGGTGCTGAAGGGCTGCATTCTGAAAGACACACACCAATGTGATTCTTTAGTGGAGAAATTAAAGGTGCACGTGGCTCACACATTTATAGACAGAGAGGATGAACCCTGTAACCACAGACTTTCCCTAGAAATTTAAACTCTAGGACAGACCATGGAAAGATTTCTCTGGTAAAGACATTAAAAATGAAGCCATCCCCAAAGAAGTTCATCTTGAAAAGATGGTTTTCTTTTTTTTTTTTTTTTGGTCTGTGTGTTTTCTTTTGAAAAAATTTAAGTAACCTTCAAAGACGTGTCCCCAACAGAGGATTTGTATAAAAAACAAATTCCAGAGTGGAGTAGAATAAAGACTGAAGACTTGGAAGAAAAGACTTGGAGTGAGTCATATGTGTATGATGAGGTTGGAGAAGTCAGCCAAAATGTTACTTGTTGAAGCTCTTGGAAAAAAAATTTTTTTGAAGCTTGATTAAAATGTTCAGCCAAAAAAAAAGGTAATAAAAAGAACTGAAGGGCAGCAGTTGCTGGGGGCTGGGGGAGGGAGGAATGGGGACTGACACTAACGGGCATGGAGGCTCTTTCTGGGGGGACGGCTGCACAGCTTCCGGAATATACTAGAAAACCATGGAAACACACTTAATATATAAAATCTGTCTGTTCATGACATGATACGTGAGCACACATAATCTGGGATATATGCAGTGAATAACTTCCCACTTAGAAAATGCAGAGGACAAGGCTCCAATGTTGCTAGTTAGTTCCATTGGTTAGAATGCCATGCTGACAAAGTTAAGCTGATTGTCTTGTTCCCTATCTACATCAGTCAACTGTGCTTTTTGCACTTACAGATTGCACTTCTAATGATGATTAGCCATCCTGTAAATTCATGCAATTGTTATGAGGGAATCCAAGTGAGAGAATGCAGGCGCGCAGTGCAAACCCATCACTACTGAGGGAAAAACCACTTATGCTTGGCTGAGAGGAGGTCAGCAGGGTCGTCCCTCACACAGAGAATCCACGTCAACATTTCAGCTACACCATCATGAGACTCATTCCTAAGTCCCTCAGAGGACCAGAGGGAGAGCTATAGATAGCTATAAGGGAGAAAAAGCCCTCAAAAAATATTTCTTCAAATGAATATGCCTATGTAGCTATAGGGGAAGAGTAACTGAAGGGTTAATGGAGACCTTCATGCAATAGTTATGCAGTGGGAAAAGTACAGTGAGCAATGCTTAGACCCTTAACTTCAAATTACTCACAAGCAGCAACCACCAAGATAATTTAATGTGAAATGATAATTTGACAGAAAAGCAAAGGAATTATTTTTGATTTAGTAAAAATGCTGAACTATATGTCTGTTATTACAAAACAGAAACTTCCTTCTCAGAGCTAATCTCACAAGACTAGGGGAGATGTTTTAAGATGCTAGCTACATAACATTATGAGCAACTACCTTCCCTTCTCAAGTTGACTGGGACTACTTGGGAGTGTGCATGATATTTTATTCTCCTTAGTACCTAAATCACTTAATAAATTACTTAGCTCCTAGGATGTGTTCAATAAAAGTTTGAAAATTAATGAAATGTATTTCAAGTGAAACTATATATATATAAACAAAACAAAACCAGATTCTGACTCACAGCAACCCTATAGGACAGAGTAGACCTGCCCCACAGGGTTTCCAAGGGGCGGCTGGTGGATTCGAACTGCTGACCTTTTGGTTAGCAGCTGTAGCTCTTAACCACCGTGCCACCAGGGCTCTGTGTATATGTATTATGTGGTATATGGGGCCCTGGTGGTGCGGTGGTTAAGAGTTCGGCTGCTAACCCAAAGGTTGGCAGTTCGAATCCACCAGCCGCTCCTTGGAAACCCTATGGGGCAGTTCTACTCTGTCCTATAGGGTCGTTATGAGTCGGAATCGACTCAACAGCAATGGGTTTATATGTGTGTGTGTGTATGCAATATATATATACACACACATACATATATATACATATACGATCTTTTCTATAGCATCTGCAGAGATCTTAGGATAGACCTTTTTCAAATCAGTCACAGAGTTTTCTTTCACTTCTTTATGCTTTGTAGCAGTCACCTAATCTTTTTACTCTATCTGGACAAATACTTATTTCGCATAAAAGTTCTTCTTATTTTGGCTGCTTTCAAAGCTTTATGGAAATATTGCAGATAAACAAATGCTATCCTGGAGTTAGGAGATACATGTTTTAGAGCACTTTGGGCACCTAAGAATCATTTCCTTCATCCAAGATCAGTCATGTTTCCAAGGACTGCCATGATGCACAACACTGATCCTGGTCCCACTGGGGTTCCATCTATCCTTGGGTGCCAAATCCAGAACTCAGTTTTGTTTTGGTCCATTAGGCTAATCAGTCTGCTGTCATTTCTGATTAGCCTGAGCGCCCTCAGACACTGATTTAAAGTGAGTAGCCCTGGCTCCACTTGTTCAGTTCTAACGACAAATCTTATTCTTACTATCTTTTTAATTTTCATGGAGCCCTGAACAATGTCTACGTACTCAAGAACTAGACTGTATTTCTCTCGTCTAATGATCCTCATATAACAAGAGAGCATGCTGAAACTGCTCCATCCCCTGACCCACCTGCAGGCCATTTCTACTCTAAGGTTTCTGCCATGGCTCAGAGTCACAGGTGGTCCACCTTTCTAGCAGAAACCATGAAACACAGTGGAGCCAGCGCAGGTGGAGTTAATGGATCTTCTGTTCTCTGAGTTCCAGTTAGCCCATTACTCCATACTGTAGCGTACATCAGCTACTCCAAGGATGCCAAAGAGTAGAGATGCTAAACCTGTGACGGGGGATGCATCAACTCATGGGAAATAAATTCTTAGACAACAGATTCTTTGCAGACACAGACCATAAAATGCTTCTAAAGTTTGACATTAATAGCTAAACCGTTGCTGTCCAGTCGATTCTGATTCATAGTGACCCTGTAAGCCAGAGCAGAACTGCCCCATCGGGTTTCCAACGAGTGGCTGGTGGATTCGAACTGCTGACCTTTTGGTTAGCAACCATAGCTCTTAACCACCGCACCACCAGGCCCTTTAATAGCTAAAGGAACCCAAATTATTAATCAATTTTCATATTATTTTGATCCTGACACTAGAAGAAAAAGGAAATCAAACAATCATGTTTGCTTATTTGTTTCCACAACTCTCTCTGGCCTATTTTCTGCTCAGCTTTCAAAGCCTTCGGTAGGCTCCCCTACTAACATCTCTCAGTCCTCACCTGGCGTTCATCCCACACTGTGTAAGCCAGTGTTTCCACCGTCCCCTGGCCATACCAGAAGCGGTCTTGTGTCTGAGCCTTCAATCCTATGGCTATCCTCCTCTGAAACGTTCTACTTTCTTCCCATCCAGCTAAATCCTCTCTCTCTTTCAAGGTCACACCTCATGCATAAATTATTTCCTGAAGCCTCCATCTTTCTTTGGCCTTTCACTCCAACAGCAATTATACACTATACCTTAAATTTAGCACTTACTGGTAAACTACCTTATATTAGTATTATCTCCCGGATTAGACTGTAAACCCCAAGAGGGCAGGGCTCAAGGGAAAATTTTGTTATATCCCTTATAGTACCTACAGTGCTGAATCTATAGTTAGAACTCAATACCATTCCAAATTATTTTAGAGCTGGAAGGGACCTTGGAGATCACTTAGTCCTATCCCTTCATTTTGTATATGAGGAAACTGAGGCCCACGATTAATGTATTTGCAAATAAGTCGTAATTATTCATTAACTAATTTGCATTTACTTTAGCAACCAAACTGTGGTTTCCACCAGGATTGAGTGAGTACAGGTTGCAAAGAACAGCAGGTCAGGCAAACACGTAAATAACATTCTGTTACGTGGAACACAGGAAACAAACCTACCTGCAGCTCCAGCTGAGCAGGCAGCATTAGAGGAGAGAAAAATAGTTACATTACCAATTGGATTGGAAGACTTCCCTTCAGTTGGTCATTACCAACCTGGATAGAAAAGATGAAAAAATATATAGCCCTACTTTTTAGAATGTATGAGGGAAAAAATGGCTCAACTAAGACTGACCTCCATGGCTCTTGCTTTGACATAAGGAACCATGTACTGAAACCAGTAACCCAATTCATTCGAAGAATACAGACTATGCTTGTACATTCACAACTTCACTACATGTGTGGGCTTTAGTTTTTTCCTTCAAAAAAAAGAAATCTAGTAAGCATTTCTCTGGACTTAGCAAAGAAAAAAAAAAAAATCGGGATGGCCAAAGCAGAAAAGACAGTAATTGGGCAAGAAAGGGAAATAAAGTAGAATGGTGGGTGGGAAGGTGTTAATTCATAGCTTTTTGCCTTTCTGGTCTATATTTATGTAGTTACATATCCTTTTAAATTAATATACACTGAACCAAAGATCTGATATGTTTCAATTCCAGGACCCTCATAAAAGGCTGTTTAATCTCCGAGTTTTAGAGGCCTTCAAAGCTATCATATATGGCTATGAATGTTTAAATGTATTTTTACATGAAGGCATGGACTGAACTATTTTTCAAGGTCCCTTCTAGCCTACAGGCAAATAAGAAGACCAAAAGAATCAATCTAGAAAATGTAAAGTCTGGGAAATTATACAGAGTCTCTTTCATCTACACATAAAGTACCAGTAAAAGTTTTTACACTCCCAGCTGCCATAGAGATGGGTGTTAGGTAATTGTTCCCAGGATGTAAACTACCAGCAAAGACAATTATCCCACAGAACCATATCATTTTCCACACATATCCCCTGCAGTTGCCACCCCACACTCAAATTCTGTCGATAAAGTACTAAAGGAAAAACACATCCCAATTGGAAGTTGCGGAAGCCCTGTGACAGCATGGTCCAGCCCAGGAAACAGGTCAGACAAGTGGGACGGGGACCTCGCTCCTGAACCAACAGCATGGTCCAGCCCGGGACACAGGTCAGACGAGTGGGACGGGGACCTCGCTCCTGAACCGACAGCATGGTCCAGCCCAGGAAACAGGTCAGACGAGTGAGACGGGGACCTCGCTCCTGAACCGACAGCATGGTCCAGCCCGGGACACAGGTCAGACGAGCGGGATGGGGACCTTGCTCCTGAACCGACAGCATGGTCTAGCCCAGGACACAGGTCAGACGAGCGGGACGGGGTCCTCGCTCCTGAACTGAGAGCATGGTCTAGCCTGGGACACAGGTCAGACGAGTGGGATGGGGACCTCGCTCCTGAACCGACAGCATGGTCTAGCCCGGGACACAGGTCAGACGAGTGGGACGGGGACCTCGCTCCTGAACCGACAGCATGGTCTAGCCCAGGACACAGGTCAGACGAGCGGGACGGGGTCCTTGCTCCTGAACTGAGAGCATGGTCTAGCCTGGGACACAGGTCAGACGAGTGGGATGGGGACCTCGCTCCTGAACCGACAGCATGGTCTAGCCCGGGACACAGGTCAGACGAGTGGGACGGGGACCTCGCTCCTGAACCGACAGCATGGTCCAGCCCGGGACACAGGTCAGACGAGTGGGACGGGGACCTCGCTCCTGAACCGACAGCATGGTCCAGCCCGGGACACAGGTCAGACGAGTGGGACAGGGACGTCGCACCTGAACTGAGAGCCTTCTTCAAGCTGGCCCTAGAAAGGATGGTAGAGTGTTTGCACAACTTGAAGGCTGTAATTGACGTCACTGAATTCTACATGTAGAAATTGCTGAACTGGTGTGTGTTCTGCTGTGTATATTCTCAACATCAACAATAAAAAATAAAATAAATTTAAAGAAAAAAAAGATATCCCTGGATGGGCAGATTGTACTTGCCAAGTCAGCTTGGACACAGGGTCCCTTTGCATCGGTGAGCAGTGCCATTTTCCAGTCTCCCCTTGGAAACGGCAGATAACCAAACTCAGTTACCCAAAATGAACTCGCAAGCTATGAAGTTATTGGCATGGATTAGCCTGGCTTAAAATGCAAGTAATTATTATAATTGAATGTACTTATGTATCCATTTCCAATCTGTGAGTTTAGGGATGCAAAGAGCCATCCTACTTTAAATTTATTAGTCCAGAAGCTGCCAAAATCCAGGCTTCAGGACCACTACTAAAGTGATCGAAGCCATTCCAGCCTGCCACAGGACACAGTTACTGAGAAACAGTGAATATTTTCTTCCAAAATAAGGGGATCGAGCACGTGATGCAAGATCTCCAAGTGGATAGTGAACAGGTTGGAAATCAACCAGCTAAAAAGATGGCGGGCAGAGAAAAGCTCAGCAGTGACGAGAACGGACCCCCGCCCTCCTGCTTACTCGGATGCGCTTGGCTCTACGCATGTCGTCCGCAGTCAGCGCACTCGGCGTGGGCACCACGCTCTCTTCCAGCTGTGGCTGCAGATGCAGGGAGTGCGTTTCGGGCTCACGTTCCAAAGAAGACTGGCCTTCCTGTGGCAGCGGAGGCATTGGGATAGCGGTCTGTTCCGGCTGATCCAGCCCATTCAGGGTAGCTGGTTCGCCCTCATCAAACTGCTCCTTGCTGGGAAAATGTAGCAAGTCCTGAAATCGCAGATCATGTAACCAACAATTATTTCCCTGCCTATGTAACAGATTAGTTCTACAGAGACTGTCAGATAAGATTTAGAACTGTTGCTTCTTTTTATATGACTAAATTCATCATGCTCAGAAAAAATATTCTCCCTCTGAGAAAGTTAATCAGGTAAATACGCACAGCCTGCAAAGCCTAGGATATATCTTGGAGTATTCATGAGGAAAAGACAGCCATGTGGCTCTTCCGGAATATCATAATAATTTTTAATTGTTTAATAAAACATAAAACCCCCCTCTAGCATTTCCATACAATTTCAAATCTTTAGTACAGTCATATTTTTGTTATAAGTAACATTTAAAAATATGTTTTCCGGCCTTTCTCTAATCACACTTTAAGGAGCCCTGGTGGTGCAGTGGTTAAAGCACTCAGCTGTTAACGGAAAGGTCAGCAGTTGAAACCTACCAGCTGCTCCACAGCAGAAAGATGTGGCAGTCTGCTTCCGTAAAGATTACAGACTTGGAAACCCCATGGGGCAGTTCTGCTCTGTCCTGTGAGGTCACTATGAGTCAGAATTGACTTGAGGGCAATGGGAATCACACGGTAATTAATAGGCCTCAAAGCACCAATATGACAGGACTCAAAACATCTGAGAGGCATTTGTATTTAAGTACCATCATCACAGTCCTGGCATATCCTCTCATCAAGCATGGAAGAAGTAGTTCCTCCCTGTGCGCCCAAGTACCTGTGTCCCATTGTCACACTTTTCTCCATTTTCACTGGTTATTTCCAAGCGGATAAATTTCGGAGGGCGCCCTGGCCGTCGACCTGGGCCAAATCGCCTCTTGCCTCGTCCCCTTCCTCTGCCTCTAGTTCTGGCGACAAGAGATTAGGTTACAGTCAGTTTTCACACGATTTCTACATAACACTCTACAGCAAATATTACCCTAAATGATCCTGACTAAACCCAGATCTTGATTTCCTCCGAATGTATTACTTTTCCTGATTAATTTCTCTAAGGGAAACAATTACTTTGCTAATACATGCTTTCTAAATTTCTCATCTTTGTCCTCTATATAGCTTAAACAGATGTTTTAAATTATTCAGAAGATAAGAGCTATAAAATTTCAAAGCACTGACAACATATTGCTCCTGGAAATCCTGACGCTATGCAGTAAAGTGTGTCCCTAGGAGATGTCTTCTGAGACAAGATTCAGTTCTTTGCCTCTTTTTCCCCATCTCACCTCATATTCCATCCAGGAAATGTGGTTACATTCAAAAGCCTGTTTTACTCTATGCTTCCAGAAGGTCAGAACAAATTTCTAATTCCACTGCTCCAGAACATGCCTACTAACACCAAATTTATTTTATCCCCTTCAATGAGTTTTTTAACATACAAAAATTCCTTAATAAAAGGGACTCAGTATGTCATGAAAACTTCCTTTAGAACTTGTGTGTGTGTATAAAATTAATCAGGTCATGCTTTATTATTCCACTCATCCATTTATCAATTTAAGAAAAATGGTATTTTTTTCCAGGACTTTTAAAAGATTCTTTATCATGGAAAATTCTGAACCTATGCAAACACAGAGACTAGCATAATGAGGTCAATGTACCCATGACCTCATTTCAACATTTATCAACTCACGGCCAGTCTCGTCCCATCTCTATCCCCTCCACTTCTCCACACACAAACCCATTACATTATTCTGAAGCAAATTAAAGACACCATTTCATACATAAGTATATCGGTATGTGTCTCTAAAACATAAGGACTCTTAAATATAACCACAATACCATGACTACACTTAAAACAAAAAAAAACTGATAGTTGCTCAGTATTACTAAATGTAGTCAAAGTTCAAATCATCTTAATTGTCTCAAATTTCTTTTAACCACTCACTAACAAACATTTTATCTACTACGTGCCATGCACTTGTCTGGGCACTAAAAATACCAGGTTAAGTGAGACAGATTCTACCCACAGAGGTCTAGCAGAGGCAGTACACCCAAAGCACGCTATAGGACAAAGAAGTGTTATGGCAGCACCATGGACAGAGTCTGAGGCATACACCGCAGGCAGTGACTTAACTCTTATTTTTCTCCAACCCACCTCTGACATTTACTCCCTTGGCCATGCCAGAGTGCTTGTCATCATCGTAAATGCAGAACCTCCCTTATCCCAGTTCCATGCACCCCCTCAGCTCTGACTAGGTCCTAACTTTCCAGCTCACTCCCTCTGGTACCCTAACTTAACAATCCTTTAACCTAGCTAGCATCTCTATCCAATCATTCTGTCACGCATTCGTAGTCCCACATTCTCCTGATGTTTTCACTTCCCTTCTTCCACAGCTCAAACTCCACATTTAATCAGGACAATCATGCCCTTGTATGTGCCCTCAATTCCCATCCCCACTGTTGCTTCATTATTCTCGCTCTGCTGTATGTGCTTGGCGAAACTACAGCCCTGCTTAATCCAATGCTCTGCTCACTCTGTCCAGCATCCTTGCAGCTGAATGTAGCTGGGCTGGAAAACCACACTCAGTCAAGCTAATGGTCTCACTTCAATTTCATGACCATGGAGCTCATGCAGGCTCTTAATGCTGTGGGCAACCACACTGTACTTCCCTGGTCCGTTCGCTTTCCCACTTTCCTAAATGCCGTTACACACTGCCTCCTCTCTTCTCAAACCCAGTAAAAGTCAGCAACCTGAATCTGACCCATTAGGACGACCCTATTCCAAACCACCCTCATTCCTCACATGGACTGCTGCAATAGCTTCTAACTGGCCTCCCCAGTTTCACTTTTGCTCCAACAGAAGCTAAAATGATACTTTTATTTTTATCCAGTGACCTTTTAAAAACATAATTGACAGTGCTTCCTCAAAAAACTAAAAACAGAAATATCCTATGACCCAGCAATTCCATTCATAGTATACACCCAAAAGACTTGAAAGCTGAGACTCAAACAGATACTTGTACACAAGTTCATTACAGCATTATTCATAATAGCCAAAAGGTGGCAACAACCTACATGCCCATCAATGGATGAATGGATAAATAAAATGTGGTACATACATACATACAATGAAATATTACTCAGCCAGTAAGGGAAACAAAGTCTTGATACATGCTACGATATGGCTGGAGCTTGAAGATGTTATATTGAGTGAAATAAGTCAATCAAAAAAGGACAAATATTGTACGATCTCACTTACATAAAAAGACAAGAACAGGCAGTTGTATACAGACCAAAGTTTGTTAGTGGTTATCAGGGACTGGAGAAAGGGGGGAGGGGAGTGGTTATTGCTTATGGAGTACTGAGTTTCAGCTGACAGTGATGGAGAATCCCACTGATTAAGGGTAGGGTTGCAGAGCCAATCAATGCCACTGCTGTCAATAAGTTGCACACCTGTACAAGGCTGAACTGGCAAAAGTTGTCTGATAGATATATTTTTAACACCAAAAAAAAAAGAGAGCGAGAGAGAGAGAGAAAGAGTAGCTTCTGAGGTGGCTTATTTACAACCAAACACCTCATGGGATTTGGTTCCTTGGTTTGGAGGTTTCTGGTCATGGTTTCATGGAACAGCTCAGCTAACTGGTCTAACATCGTGTTTAATACTTCCACCTCCTAGTTTGTGGCATAGTGCCCGGGGTCTTAAAAGTTTGCAAGCACCCATCCAAGGTACAACAATTGGTCTCTAGTTATCTAAAGCAACAGAGGAAGAAGGAGGATCAGGAATAAGAGGAGCAAATGAAATGTGTGCCTAATTGTCTCCATGAACAATTGCCTCCTTTGCCATGAGACCAGAAGAACTGGATGGTGACCAGCTACTACCACTGAACATTTTGATCAAACCATCTACAGAAGAATCCTCATCAAAAGGGGGAAAATGCCGAACAGAATTTCAAATTCTCACAGAAAACAGACTTTCTGGAGCCATGGAGGCTAGATGAACTCCTGAAACTATTGCTCAAAGATAACCTTTTTTTTTAATCATGATATCACTTTTTAAAAAAAATTTGATAGTGTTTTAGTTGAAAGTTTACAAAGAAAACTAGGTTCCCATTTAACAATTTTTATACAAACTGTTCTGTGACATTGGTTACAATTTTCACAATGTGTCAGCATTCTCATTATTTCCATTCTGTTTATTCTGTTTCCATTGATCTAGCTTCTCTTCCTCTTATCCTGCCTTCTCATACAGTTGATTGTTTAAGGGAGCACATTACTCACAGCAGATATCATTTATTTTAAAAGCCTATCTATTATTTGGCTGAAAGGTGAACTCCAGGAATAACTTCAGCGCCAAGTTCAAAGGGTATCTTACGGCAATAGTCTTGGGGGTTCCTCTAGTCTCCATTGGTCCAGTAGGTCTGGCCTTCCTTAGGAATTTGAATTGTGTTCTACTTTTTTCCTCCCATTCTATCCAGAACCTTTTATTATGTCCTGGTCAGAATGGTCAGTACCTAAAATAATCTTTAAACCTTAAACCAAAAATATTCCCTGAAGTCTTTTTAAAACCAAACAATAGTTTAGCTTAACCAGTAAGAAATGTATGCCTTGAGCATTGTGCTCCTTTAAGATCTATCTATATGGGATCACGCTGACAACAGCAACTGGAAAGATTAGATAGGAAACTTACAGGGCAGTGAGTTTGTGTTAAGGATGGAGGAACAACTCAGAAAAGGAGGGTGAGAATGGTTGCACAACTTGAAGAATGTAATCATGTCACTGAATTGTACATGAAGAAACTGCTGAATCAGTGTACATTCTATTGTGTATATTCTCAACAACAACAAAATTAAAATAAATTATTTTTTAAAAAACACATAATGGACATCACAATATTCCCTGATCAGAACCCTCTAAAGGCTTCCCATCACACCTAGAATAAAATCCAAATTTCTTACCATTACCTATAAGGCCCTACCTGATCTGGCCCCTGCCTACCCCATGCTATATGATTCTCTCTTCATCTATCTTTTTTATATATTGGAATTAAACATATGATTTCATTTGATAAAGGAAGACTACTGATAAAAAGATGTTTGAAAATCACAGATGTAGATTATTTTGAAGGTATATGCTATCTCAAGAATTCCTCTTTCAGAATCTCTAGTTAAGGGAGACTTAACCAAGTTGAACGGATCTCCCATTGCTGGGTATGGGTTATGCTGGAAAAGAGACAAATAGTAAGTGAGGAACATGGGGAAAAAAGGAAATGACAGATAAAATATTTCCCTCAGCAACGTTCCTGGTTACCTCTGCACACACACACACACACAGAGAAACACTCATTAGTTTATAGACAATACAGAAATTATTCTGGACCTTTGAAAACTGAGCTTGGGAAGCTGTCCCCCTCATAAGTACCTGCTAAACACATCCAGTTTCTCATCATGCGAATTGAGATGCTGTTGTAACTGCTCCGAGCTTATAAATCGACGGTTACATTCATAGCAGGGCCAATTCTTCTCTTGCTCTCGAAGAACTGCACTCACAGGAAAGAAATCAGAAAGGCTGGTGATCAACAGACACCAATGAATCCCAAATGTCCAGTGTCCCCACCATTCCCATCCAGCTGTGGCCCAGAGAGTCCATCACACTGATAAAATATACCGTGCCGGCTATTTGCATCACCATTTTGTCATGAAATCAAAGGCCAAAGTCTGGCAGAGTTGGTTTTTAGGATCTCTTTTCTGACATCAGAGGAACAAACAGCCTCATACCACCCCACAATACACACACACACACACACAACCTCACACACTGGAAAGACAAAAGGTGCTACAATGGAAATCCGTATCCAAATAGCCTAGCGATTGAAAACCAAGTTTCATAATCTGAGGGTAGATTTTATTACACATAACTTCAAAAATCAATGCCCAATATAATCACTTTAGCAAAATGCCCAGAACTACCCACTAAAACTGAGTATACACATACTCAGTGCCCTAGCCATTTCACTCCTAGACGTAAGGCCAGCAGAAACGCAGCCAGGTGTTCGCTAAAAGACATGGAAAGGAATGTTCACGGTGGCATCCTTCATAACAGCAAAAAACTGGAAACAAGCTAAATTACCATCTACAGTAAAACAGATAATAAAGTGTGGTACATTCATATGTTCATACACTGCTCCAAACAGCAATGAGAATGAACAAACTAGGTTATGTACAACAATATGGGTGAATCTCACAAACATAATGTTGAACAACAGATGCCAGATACAAAAAGCATTCATCACTTAATTCCATTTATGTAAAGTTCAACAGCATGCACATTTTATCTGGGTATTAAAAGTCAGGAGACTGGTTAACTCTTGGGGGTGAGTAGGAACTGGACGAGGACACAATGGGACTCTAGGGTATTGGTCAGGTTCTGTTCCACGATCTGGGTACAGGTTACACAGGAATGTTCACTTTGTGAAAATTCATCAAGTTGTACACGGATGATCTGTATGTAGGTTATACTTCAATAACATTTACATTTAAAACAAAGTCAACGCCTGGCTTGCTAAGTCATCACAGACGATTAAATCTAGATAGGATCATCCTCTGATCTAGGTCTAATTTAATATTTGGAGGTTTTCATTATACTAAGTACTATTTTCCAGTACCCACAAAAGAAATGTAAATATGTCATTATAATTTGATCCTAGGATTAGATGTGTAACTCGAAAAATCCTACTGGAATATCTTAAAATATACTGAGATAGAAAAATCAGAGGTTGCATAAAGATGCAATATATACAATTTAGAATTCATATAGAAAATGTAAAATATAAAAGTCCAATCACCTTTCCTTTCCTCCTCAGAAATGTCATGAATTTTCTGGTTGACAAACTCAGCATATGATGCAGCATACCACACCTGCAAGAACCAGGACATCATCAAGAACTAAGGGCCATCACCAGATGTTCTCCGCATGCTTAAATTATTCCTCCTGCTTACATAAAGCAATTCAGGCTTTTCAAACAAACAAACAAAACAGAACGAAACCAAAAAACCAGTGTGAGCCTAACCCTTTAGCACTAGTCTCTGGCAGATCACCAGTCGGGAAGTTCATTTGCCAAGTCACCCTCCATGTTTTCTTTTGCCTTTTTAAAAAATTGTTTTTGTTGTTAGAACACCTTCACAGGAGATTATATTCACAGTCTCCCCATCTAAATAAAACAAAGCTTCTTCTGATTTCTTATCTTATTTAAACACCGACTTTTACACAGTTGTAATCATAGAGGCTTCCATCCCCAACACGCCACCAAAGCTGCTCTTACCATGATGGCTGATGGCTGTTTCCAATGCCACCACATTCTCCTGAGTCTCCTCCTCTCTCCTACCTCACTGGCTGCTTGAGCTCAGTCTCCTCGGCTGCTTCTTCTTCTCCCTGACTTCTAACCATTGGTGTTCCTCAAGGCCTAGTCCAGGGCCTTCTTGCTTTTCTCTATGGTGATCACATCTACTCCCAGCCAGTGTTATGCTAACATTTCTCAAATTACTATCTCCATCCCAGACCCTCCCTCTAGGTTCCCTCTAAGTGTACACTACCACCTACCTGATACTTTCGATGTTTCACAAACAGCTCAAACTTAACATGCCCACAACTGAATTCTCGGTGGTCCCCGACTCACACTCCCATCCCTCCCCATCTTCCTCTCTCAATAAATAGCTTACTTTCCACCCAGTCACTCAAACTTGAAACCTAGAAGGTTATCTTTGATTTCTTAGTTTTCTCCTGCAATCCCTTAGCAAGAACTGTTGATTCTACACCCTAAATGCACATCAGATCTTCTCCATGTCTGCCACTACCACCTACACACACGCCAAGATGGCCCCTCATCTGGATTACTGGTGGCCTTCTAAGGAGCCTGCTCTTCTCCACTCTTGTTCCCTCAAATCCCCTGTCCACACAGCCGCAGAGTAGTCTCCTTAAAACACAAGCAGATTTTGTCCTTCCCATGCTCAGAAACCCACAACGGCTTCCCATCTCATAACAAATCTGAAATGCTAGATGAGGATACACGAAGGGCTACACGGCCTGGCCCTGCCTTGCTAAGTGACCTCAGCTCCTGTCATTCTCTTTGCCTACCCTTCAGCCAGGAGGGCCTGCTTTAAGTTCCTCAAACAGGCTAAGCTCTTCCCACGTCGAGCCTTTGCCCTTGCATCTCACTACCAGGAACACTGGGTTCTTCTCCTTCACCCCTCTCCGCCCTTTCTACAGAGCTGGCCCCTTCCCACTGCATGCCTAAATGTTATCTCTTCAGCAAGGCCTTCCCTAGCTACCACATCTAAATCCATCCCTTGGCTGTCGTTCGCTCTTTCTCCACCATGTGATTCTTTCATACCACTTAACACTGTTTGATACTATTTGCTTGTTTACATCTTTCTGTTCATCTCGCCTCTAGAATACAAGGTCCTTGAACAAAGGGAACAGGTCTATCTTTTCCTAGCATAGGAGCTCAATATATTAATCACTAAATTAATGAACCGTATATCATTTTTGTGAAACATGATTTTATGTATATGGTAATATTTCCACAGAGAGACTTCATTTTTCACTGTGGAATAATATTCTATGGAGCCCATGGTCCACAATTTACTTAACTACGCCTGTGCTGTTGGATCAAGGAGCTCCTCATTTTGCTGCTGTAAATGCTATCCTATTTTACCAACTCGAAGATGTGTATTTTTTCACATTTTAACATCTCTGGAGTCAGAATGTGTCTTACAATCTATGGCGTTCTACAATTGCTCTCATGCAGTAGCTGTCACTGCTGGCTCCTTGTTCCTATACAAACTTGGCCGCGCTGTTTGTACTGTTGTCTCCTCATCCGGCTATGTGCACCACTGACACTCCATGAGTTGTTAACACTTGCCAACCAACACAACTGAAGGCAAAAGAAATTGCCATTTCCCTCGGAATAAACAAAAGAAGTTGCAAAGCAATGAAAGGCTGGTGGGCTAGACCCCGCAGGGTCTATCATGAAGGTGTCAAACATCAAATTGTCAGAAACTTCCTAATGACTTGGATCGAAAACCACTTAACTTCCAAGGGCATGTGACTCCACTGAGGAAGAAGACAACTGTGAATTCAGGCAAATAGAAAAGCACAGCATCACAGCCAGTAGAAGAGGTATCATGGCTTGTCAAAATGTCCCAGAGGCAATAGTACGGCATTTATCTTAAAAACACAGCATCACCATCAACACTCTTGATAGCACGGAGGATGACATTATGGAGATAAACACAAACATCCATGACTAAGTGAAACAGTAATTAGTGGGAAAAAAAAAAAAAAAGTCGGCTGTGAACATAAAGCAGTTTATACTTTAACCAACTTACTTTGCCTAGCGGTGCCTTTTTATGTACGCATAAGAGTGATGTGTGATTTAAAACTATATCTAAATAAGTCTAAAGTAGCTCCTTCAGTAAGTGTAAAATAAACATTCTTGTTAATTAAAAAAAAGACAGCAGCAAATGTTTTGGTGTGTGTATTTTCACAATAAGTTTTTTAAGTACAGTAATATAGCTTAACTGGAAGCATTTTTTCTTAATGATGCATAAAATAATGATGCATCTTAAAATCATTATGTCTTAGGTTCACTGAAATATGGTACTACAAAATTCTAATGTATCTAGCTTTATCTTTGTCTATACTTATTTTCTTAGGCTAATTTTCAAGGATTTGGGTTACCCGGCCAAGGACATTTTTGGCATATATTGCCATTAATATTCTACAAAATACTGCAATTCTGTAATGCATGACCCTGTTTTAAAACCCTGACATCCATGGGTCTGTATCTATTTACTTTTGCTAATTTATATTAACAAAAATAGTAACTTGGGAGTCATTTTCAATGATCAATGTAGAAAAAATTTGCAAACATTTCTTTGCTATTTCTTTCCTTCTCCAAATAAAATCTACTGCCAATGTTTGTCCACCTGGACATACTGAGGTTACAGCTGGACAACTCTCTTTCGGTTTTCATACTTAAACCGTTTCATGTTTGTTACAAATATTTCTCCCATTCTGTTGCTTCCTTTTATCTGTTGTTTTAATTCTTCATTACACTCAACTATTATATTTTTATTTAATTGTATCTGTCTGTCTTTACCTCTACAGTTCTACTGGTTTTAAAGAGAAAATAATCTCCTTTCCTCAATTCAGGTTTTTTTCTTAACTAGAATTTATTGGGAAAGATGGTGTAAGATATGAACCTTTTTTTTATGTATTTTGTTCAGGGTTGATGGATTATCTAGCTGAAGTTTCAAATACATCGGTTTTATATAGCTTTTGAACAAAATCCTGGTCCTTGCTCTCCCCCTAGAAGGTATCTATTTCTTCTACCACAGGGAGGCACTGTGCAATCCAGTGGTCATGTACTCTTGTGTTCATTAGTCATCTATTTTTCATTTATAGCAGGAGGTCACAAAGTATTCTGACCCCCTTTCACCCATGTTCCTAACATAGCTTTTTTTAAAAAAGTGATTTACCTCAAAAGAACTTTCCCTTAAAATTACAAGCAAAATTTTCATGATCTCACCAAGAGTTAACATTTAGACAAATTCCAACACAGAGTTATCCCCCAAAAATAAATCCCTGAAATCTGAAGCCAACACATAGAATTCCTTGGGTAAAATGAAGTATTCAGATAAAGAAAAGAATTCCACCCATACATTTGAATCCTATTTTATAAAAGCTCCTCCTTCTGAACAACTTCTTTTTTACAGTGGATAAATGACACGGAGAATCCCACCTTTAATCACTCCATCACAAACACCAATCTCCTCCCCAAAACAACCACTTCTTTACCCCTGGGCCTAAAGCCTTCGTGTGGCCTTTGAAAGGCACAAAAGCCTTGTAGTCTTCATTCTGTTTTATTTATGGGTTATTATAGTAGGTGCTCACTAAGTAAATGAATTACAAGGAAAGGACCAGTTGAGTAAGAATCCCGCTTCCAGAAGAAAAATTAGGAAAAGCCTTACACAGTCCCTCTTCCCAGCAAAGGCATCGCTGACCCAGCAATGTACCTTAAGTTCCTGCTTGGGCTCTACGTTCTTTATTGTTGTATAATACACGTGGTGGCCATATTGGTAAGCCACCAGGTTCTGCTCCAGGTGGTTCTGGGCTGGGCGTACAAACATCATCCAGTTACAAACAGTCTCATCAGATAACTCAAACCACAGGTCTTCATGCAAATCCCTGTCTTTTCTGTCCCCTTTATCAAGAGAAACCTGTAACCAAAGAGAAAAGAAAAAGCTTCACCAATGGAAAAGACAAAAACAACAAAACCTCAATGTGATATGCATTGATGTCATAACAGAAAATATTGCTCCTTCAATTAACTGTATGTCCTGATTCTTCCCTTTGTATCTAGAGAGATACTGGAATTGTGACTTGCCAAGTGTAAAAGGGAAAGGATGCTTTCTGAAGCCACAACCGTAGCAGAGTTCACTGGCAAAACCTAAAAGGTAACTATCTAATTGTATAGCTTCATTTAATGTTTCACAAAACTACCATACCACAATATTCTATAAACAAACCAGAAAATGCAAGCAAACATACTTCCAACTCATCACAACCTGCCTCCTTTTAGGATTCAACTACATTCATTTATAATCTGTAGCCAGGTGACAGATATTTCTCTCCACATAGTAATATTCTTTCTTGGAGATCTTGTGCACTAACCAAAGAAAACCTTCCCCTGACAGCAGCTGATTTCTCAAAAAACACATCTAAACGTTCTCCCTTCCCACTGCCCTTCTTAGTTCTCCAGAGTGGCTCTCCAAGAAGCAAACAGCAGAGAGGGCTGGATAAAAGCAAAGGCATCAAACATGAAGAAGAGAGATAATATAAAAATACTTTATCATACAAGACATTCTTCTTTAACTAAAGATTCAACACAACAGACTTGTTAATAACTTCATCAAAAATTAAAAAGTGGTTTTTCTGAAAACATGACTGGCGCATAGCAGATTCCAAGAGTACATAATTCCCTTTGTCTTCCCTCAAAGTTAGCACAAAAAGAAGCATAAAAAATCACACTGTCGAAGTGCTGAAGAACTAGATTATTCATGTAATGCCTTAGGGGACTGAAATTGCAACCTCCATTTTATGAGTGAGAGAGAAAGTATCCATTTAAAACAAATTAAGCATAGAAAGAAAAATACTAGCAAACAACTATGATGAAGTTGAAATAAGAGACTCAAGCAGGAAAATGTCAAAGAACAAGAGTGAAATGTGATAAAGTACAAATTACCTTTAGGTGAATGTAACAATCTTTCAGCTCAGACTCCCTGACGAGGGGTCCCTCCACAGGGCCAAACTGGGTGCGCTTGGGAATGCGCCTCTTGGAGAAGACCCCTCCCAGGAACCTGTCTATGTAGAGGACCAGGGGGAGGCTGGCTCTGGCCCTTGTGAGCACGGGCCGGTTGGGGATCGGATGCAAGGGGCCATGTTTTGGGCACACTGACGAATGTGCATTATTACACTCCTCACACCCTGCAAAAGAAAGAAAATCTTAAACAATGGTCAAATTTCTCAACGTGGTTTGATTTAAGGTAAAAAGTTCTGACCTGAAAAATGCCCAAATCTAAGTTTTCAAAGCCAAAATTCATCCAGCTCCACTCGATTGTAATACAGCAGCTTTAACAGACCAACAAAATCCTACTATTTTCCTAGAAAATCGGCAGAATTAGTTTATGCCAGTCAAAAATAATATGTAGGCTGTGACTTATTTCTCTGCTGGAATTAGAATTAAACTGTTGTTATTGTTAGTTGGGAGCCCTGGTAGTGCAGTGGTTAAGAGCTTGGCTGCTAGCCAAAATGTCAGCAGTTCGAATCCACCAGTCGCTCCTTGGAAACCCTATGGGGCAGTTCTACTCTGTCCTATAGGGTCGCTATGAGTCAGAATTGACTCGACGGCAACGGGTTGGTTTTTTGTTGCTATGGAGTCAACCCCTGACTCATGGTGGCCCCATGCACAATGGGAGCTGACCATAGGGTCATAGGGTCCACTGGGTTTTCATTCACTGATTTTTCAGAAATAGATCGCCAGGCCTTTCTTCCTAGTCCATCTTAGTCTGGAAGCTCCACTAAAACCTGTTCAGCATCAGAGCAACACGCAAGCCTCCAATGAGAGTCAGCTGGTGGCTGCACATGAGGTGCATTGGCCAGGAATCGAACATGGGTCTCCTGCATGGAAGGTGAGACCTCTACCACTGAACCACCAATGTCCCCAGAATTAATCTAGTGACCACTAAATTTACAAATCAATTACATCACGTCTGAAAGAAAAAAGCTCATTATGCTACATGATGCAAAATCTGATGAGACAAAACGGGAATTTTATAATACGTAAATTACATCTCAATAAAGCTGTTTTAAAACAAAAAGCCACCCGATGAGACAGCTTACTCAAGTCCCTCAAGGGAGCTACAAAAGCGTACAGGGTCACTACGAGTCAGAATCGTCCTGACGGCAACAGGTCAACTGGGTATTAACATCTGTAAGATAAAGGGACTTTACACTCATTTGACCAAAGAGAGTTGCCTTGAACACTTACAAATTCAAGGAAAAACACAGCAAAGAAGTCCTTTCTTGGATCCGGGGAGCAGGACACTGGCCCCACTACCTCACAGCGGCCCCGAGAGAAGCATGGTAAGATTACTAAGCTCTGAATAACCTCGGGAACTCAGTGAGGGGAGAACTTAGCCATATGAGCATGAAAACTGATGGAAAGAAAGACAGATCGGGTAGGTACAAGCAGACCCTCCTGGAGCAGGCGGTACAGACAGGCAGCAACACCTCTGGACGGTCGTGGGCACACCAGCCCCAGACCTCCTGAGTGAATCCTGGCTCTTGTCACTTCCTGGGGTGACCTGTGGAAAACCACCTAACCCTCCTGTGGGGACAGTAGCTGTGCCTGCTCGTAAGACTGTGGAGAACACCGAATGAGTTAATAAGCTGAAGGCACTAGTGTCTGCAATATAAGCATTTAGAAAGATTATTAAAAAGAGAGGTAAAGCAACAAAGCAAACTTGTTACAACCAAAATGGCCTGAATATTCCAGGATTGGACAAACCTACAACAGTGGTCAGGAGCTCAAGCTCTGGTCTCACCTGGCTAGAACGCCAGACCCACCCCTCACCAGCTAGGTGACGCTGGCCTCTCCTGAAATGGAGTTTAGTCCGAGTCAAACTGGAATAACCGTAACGGTGGCAGTGCCTCCCTCAAAAGACTCTAAGAAAAAAGAGGGGAGACAATGTATGTAAAGCACCTAGCAGAGTATCTGGCACAGAGGAAGTACTTGTACGTGTTAACTGTGTTATCACACGGAGTCCCTGGGGGACACTAACTGTTAACCACTTGGCTACTAACCGAAAGGCTGGCAGTCTGAATCCACCCCGAGGCGCCTCTGAAGAAATGACTGGCGATCTACCTCCTAAAGGTCACAGCCATTGAAATACAAACAGTTCTACTCTGACACATGTGGGGTCTCCATGAGTCAGAGTCAACTCTATGGCAACTGTATTTTTTTTTTTTTTTTGGTATGTTAACACACACACACATACTCACAAGAAACAACATATAACTTCCTCTGAGGATTAGAGTGCCCTGAACTTACATAAATCATGAGGGTCAAAGGGCCGAGGTGGATCTGGTTCCCAGTCATCCAGGTCTGTGTCTTCACCATCTTCCTCCTCATCTTCTTCAGTACCCTCATCCTCATCCTCTTCCTCTTCCTCCTTTGCCTCCAATCTCCCAATGGGATTCTGGAGAGTTGCTAAAGGATCTGAGCCGTCCACACTCTCAATTGAAGGCAACACCTGGTTATGTACTGGTAAAGAGGCCTGGACAAAAGGTTTAAGGCATCAAGTTAGCAGACATAACTTTTTAGTTAGCTGGTGTACACACACACACAGAGGCAGGGCTTGGTGGAATATATTCTTCACACTAGCTCTTTTCAAAGCCCTGGAAACATGTTTCCATTTACAGGATGTAATGAGGCGTCTGACTGCTGACAGCTTTTACGCCCCAGCCCTCCCTCCTCCTGTGCCCCACATGAGAACAAACTAAGGAAGCCTGGGTGCCCCTCCTCTGGCACCAGCAGGAGACTCAAAACCACACGAGCCCCAGCCTGTGCGCAGGACCCTCACCCCGGGCCACCCCTGACCACAGGAAGGCTCGGAGCCCGTCTCCTTCCCCGGTTCCCTCAGGCCATTAGGGACCTGCCTGAGAGCTCTGCCCTGCTGTCCCAGGGAGTAACAAACCTTCCGGACCCTCATGTGTGCGTATGTGTGTGTGTGTGTGCGCATGTGTGCGCATGTGTGTGTGTGCCGTCAGCAGTCTCCACTGCCGTTACAGCATGGCCACAACAACTGGGCGGCCACCACGTAAGGTGTGTGACGACTACCCCATCTTCAACCACTGCACTGTGAAAACTAAACATCTGGTGCACCATGTGGTGGGTAAGTTAACTGATTAGGGACTCTGCTTTTAAACACTCCAGAGAGGCTGAGGTTTTCATGTAAGAATGAGAAATTCTTATCCGTTGAACCATGCTGAAGTTAATCTTGCAAATAAGGCAAGGTTTGGGTCATGAATTGAGTGAATGCTACTTTACCAAATCCAATGACAGAAAATAAATGGTACCTTAAAAAAATTTTCTCACCACCTAAATGTTATAAGGTTATACACTACCCCCAGACTTTTAATCCAATCTTATTTCTACTGCCCAGTTAGAGCCATAAGCCATACTGAGGCCGTGTCCCCTTCCTATTCAATGAACACATCAAGTTAAAAACCAATAAGCCTACTCCCTTCTTCTGCATCTTCCCACACGTTGTTTTCCTTGTCTGGAATGTTCTTCCCTCACCAGTCTCCTAAACACCGTCACGTGCCAGCTTCTCGATGAACCATCTCTGATCACTCAGCCCTCCCTGATCCAGCTCTGATCTGAACTCCTATTACACAGGAAGTCACAGAATTCCACCCTACAACATCACTCAGCTTCTGCTTAAACATTTCACGGCCGGAACTCATTTCCGCACAAAGCAGCCTCAATCATTCTGGAATAGTTCTACGACAGTTTCTGTTAAGTCAAAACCTCCCTCTACCTATCTTCCATGCACTGGCTGGGATCCAGGACTTCCCTCGGGAGCTATGGAGAATAAGTCTACCCTTCTTTCCACATGACAGTTCTTCAAATATTTAAAGACAAAAAAACTCCTTCCATTGTTTCTCACATGGCCACGTTTCCAGATCACCCACCATCTCGTTGTCTTTATTTATTCCTCAGCGGATTCCATATTACTATGAATACAGCATCAGATTGCATTAGCATTAGCTAATTGCATTAGCCATTGGTCTGCTGACCCACACTGAAGCTGCCCATAACTAAAATCCTTCAGTACCTTTTTCCCTGCGTGAAGTACTTGTTGTTGTGTGCCGTCGAGTCAATTCTGACTCATAGTGACCCTATATGACAGAGCGGAACTACCCCATAGGGTTTCCTAGGCTGTAATCTTTATGGGAGCAGATTGCCAGGTCTTTTCTCCCGGGGAGCCACTGGTGGGTTTGAACCACTGACCTTTCAGTTAGCAAATCAGCGCTTAACCATTCCGCTACCATGGCCCCTCCATAAAGTGCTACTAAACCATTTTTTCGCTCATCAGTACTTAAAACAGCTGATTTTTACTTAAATGTGGGATTTTGCATTCATCCGTAGTAAATTTCATCTTATTACTTTCTTTCTACTTTGCCAAGATCTTTCAGAACCTTGATTCTAACATCTCACGTATCAGCTACCCTCATAACTTTGTATCTGTTAGAGCCAAAATACCATCCACTTTGGCAATGAATATTCATTTTCATGTCCATCCACCTTGCCTTCCTACACCTCAGGGAAGCAGACCATGGGCTTTGGAGTCAGACAGATTTAGGTTAAAATCCTGGCACCTCTATCAAGTTACCAAATTTCTCTGAATTTCAGTCTCTTTACCTGTAAAATGGGCAAAATGATACAAATATCATAGGTTTTGTGAAGGTTAAATGAAATGTGTATAGAGCGAGTAGTAGATTATCTGGCACTTAAGTTTTAGTATTAATAATAATAATTGATGATGATGATGGTGATTAATTCTTTGAGGACCAAGATGACATTATGTACTTCCTCTCAGTAGCCCTAAAAGACTGCCAAGCATATAGTCGGTATCCAACAGAACATCTAATACTTTGGGAAATGACATCAGTGCCTCAGACATCTAAAGGAACTCTTTGTTGCTAGTCACAAAAACAGCCCTTTCCAGCGGCTCATCTAAATCCAAGAACTTCTTAAATTCTATAAAGAAACAGTACTGAGTAACTATTCTGTGCATTTACAGAGCCCGACATATAACCACCTACCACAGCAGTTGAATACCACTACCCAATGATTAAAACGCTCGGACTCCAGAGAGCTGATAAATTCAGTGAGTTCAAACAATACACACGTTTATCGTGCACTCACTTAACCCAGGAGCCAGATTTTGCATGGCACTCCATCTCTGTAACTCAAGGCCTCTTAGAAAGTTCTGTACGCGAGAACAAAATTCTGAGAGATGCTTCAGCTTCAATAAAAGCAGAATAAAATGCCCACTGAGGGTGAGGACTCAACAAGGAAAAAAGCAGGGGCCTTCGGGCAATGCACCTGCTTTTGCCACCTCCCCTGCCACATCCTCACAGATCCTGCAAGGAAGCTACGTCGATCCCACTCACGAGCTCAGCACAATTTACGGTATCGCTCTTTATTCTAAAGCCACTTAAATTTTATGCCAGCATTAGTGATGAGTGTTATCACACATTGAACAAACCAAAGCATATGGTCACCTCTACACCTCATCAATTCTTTATCTCTTCGCTGGGCCAAACTGTGAAAGAATGAATTCAGCAATTTAGAGTTATTCTTGTAGAAGCCATAATGTATTATTTTTCCCAACAGATGCTGCTGGAAAGACTGTGGCTAGGCAAGGTGACGGCTGGCTTCTGGCCATGCTGAGAAAGCTGACATTAAAATAGTGCCAGCAACCTTCTCCTCCCCCATGCTGAAACTCTCCTAAGAGTGGCTAAGGAAAGGAAGCTTGAGCACTTCAGCATTACCTTGAAGGACTGATGCTAAAGCAGAAGTTGAATATATACTAAAATTATGAAATGTTGAAAAGGAAAGAAGAGGGTCAATGATATGCATTTCTAGGTAAAAATTATATATTTCTAGATCGTACAGATGTGCTAACTGCACTAAAAAACAGCAAGGTGGGCAAATCCCACCTTTACTGCTAACTGCATGGTAAAAAGGATCAGCATGAATCCAGTTCCCACCTGGAAATGGATCTGGGCTTTGCCCCCCCACATCTCTGTTATCCTCATTGCCAGCCACCCACGTAGGACTTTCTCTCTCTGACCCTAACCACCCAGAGTTAGAACAGACCTACAAGTTAAAAAGACTCTGTCTTTTTAGATCAACTGCCTACACAACCTTTCTCTGTCACCCAGCCACGCAGACTGGGTCTTCACAAGTTAGAAGGACACTGTCCTTCAGATTGCCAAACAGACAGATGCCAGCCTCTGCTGGCTCATTGCCCATTGTGGGTTTGTTTATTCTCTAGAACGGCTCACAAAATACATGAAGACTACCTATACTCACCGTTACCCATCTATTACAGCCAGAAAGGATACAAATGTGTTGCCAGGCGGAAACCCCAGGTTCTGCTCAGTGTGACTCGACTCAGCCAGTAAACTAGAGACTGAGGTGGGAGAGTGGAAAAGCACCTTTATTTCATTGCACCAGGAAAGGAACAGTCGGGGCTGCTGCTGCCAAGACTGCTTAGCAAGGGCGAGGGGGAAGGTTACTTTTAAGAGGTTTACAAGTAGGAAGTTCATATAAGTTACATCAATGACATTCTTAATGATACTACACAGGCGCAATGGGGTTTAAATATAATTTCATGCATCGCATGTTCAGAAAATGGTGGTTCAACTCCACCCAGAGGCAGGGAAGTTACTATGTATGAAGTATTTAAGGAGCTAAAAGGTTATCCTGAATGTCAACATGGTGCCTAAACCAGTTTCCACCAATTTCCCTTAGTTTTGGGCAGCAGTTAAGGAGAGGGGAACCAGGATTTTATGTAAAGCTACAGGGCACATCAAGCAAAGGAACCAGGATTTAAACGTAAAGGTACGGGTGCCACGCAAGCTGCCTGAGGCAGTGGAATCTTTCGCAGCCTGGGGACCTCTGTCTTAAATGAAGAAACACATAAGGTGAAGTTGGATTCAGCAGGGGTTCCCACTCAGGGCCTCCACTGTCTCCAGGAATGTGCCACCCTCTCCTCAGACTTCCATGTTCAGGGCTTTTACTGGCTTTTGCATAGTCAAGATTGGGGCTTCACTGAATATGCATCATTGATTGACTCAATGAATATGCACGCTTGATTGTATCGCGCTCCCCTCCCTTCCTGACATTAGTTGCCAGGTGGTCTGTGCAGCCCCACTTATTTGCATACGTTCTAAGGTACTGCTTGGGATTTTTACACAATAAAGGCACCTCAATTGCCTGGAATTCCAAGGGTTATTTTCAGGAAACCAGGATCAAAGGTCAAATCAAGTTCTTTGTCCCACAAAAGACTTTAACACATAGTAGGTATGGGGTCACTATGAGTCATCCTCATAGCAGAATCGACTCAGTGGCAATGGGTTTGGGTTTTCTGGTTTAGGTGTGCTTTAGGAGGCCTGGTAGTGCAGTGGTTAAAGCACTAGACTGCTAACCAGAAAGGTCGGTGGTTTGAACCCACCAGCCACTCTGCAGAAGAAAGATGTG